CGTAGCTGATATAAATTTGTTATATCTTGTAACTAATCTTGAATCTTGCCCACATAGAAGGCAAATTGCCAGCTGGTGTATCATCGACATTGTGAACTATAAATATGTATTTGATTCAATTGTTTTCAAATGAAAAGATTCATTCAATTCTTTTGAACTCTGACCAAATTGTCATTGCTAAAATAAGACAAAACTTTATTTGCTTGCATAGTTTATCTAATCATCCATTTCATATGGCAATACCAGAGTAGAAGAAATGCTGAATTCCTAGAGTTGTACACCACATCCCAGCCATGTATTGAGAATATCTCCCGATAATAATATCAGAACCAATGATGTCGTCATCGGGAGATGTTCCAAATACACGACCGGGATGTGGTGTGGGACGGAAATGTGAACTCGAATTCAACTCTTGAGAAGATGCTACTTGTGTGATTTAGGGGGTGTTCTATACTAATTAAAGTTAAAACAATACTATGACGTGATTGAAAACCTGAGAAGTAATTCTGTTCAAAGTTGATTCATATTTTGAATTTCCGAATCAAGAATTGCTAGTTTCAAAACACACCACACTCTAAGAGAAGTACTTTACAACAATATGTATGACTTGGCTTTTAAAAACTAAAGTCAACTGCCATGTTGACAAAAAATAATATAATTTTGCTGATGTAGCACTTGTTTTTATTTTTAAAACAAAACCATGCACTGATGCACACAGCCAAACGACCCCCTGAAAAGAAAGCTTATTTAGTTTGGTATACTCTTGAACCTCTTAAAACACGAAAACAACAATATAATACCTAATGCCCCCTTAATCACAAGAGGTGTGAAACATTTGATAACGTGAGAGCAAGAATTAAAATATCGATACAATATATTTAATATGTGGTGTACCATATTATATCAATGTACCCAAATATGTTTGGATACATTGATATGTAGACCTTTTGAATGATTTAAAAGATCACAGACCACTTCCCCAACCATCTGATTATTATAAAATAAAAAAAAAATAAAAACAAAGGATGAATATCAGGCTTATCGACCATATCGATATATATGCATGATATGGAAAGATGACCTTAGTTGAATTTGATACTCAAAAGTGAACACTATTAATTCGATTGAGTTAACGATAGAATTAGAGATTGAGAATTAAATAATAGAACAAATTTCATAAAAATCAGGGTTATGACTTAGCTAGGAAGCAATGACTATACAGCTTTACATTTTATTTGATTTCTTTCTAATATTTACGAGACTTATTTTGAGACAATCTTCTATTTTATGGGCATTTTCAAAGGAGAAAGGGAAAGTATTTTTCTCTCATCATGCAAATTAATTGAGACATGATCAAACCTATCATGGCATATTGTTTCCAAATCCCTGGCACAAAATTGGGAAGATTCGACTTATTTTAGAATGCTGTCTTACACTTTCTTGCCTCTATGATTTGACTGATCAAAAAATTTTTGTAATTTGTCAAATGATTTCTGGAGTTTATTTTCCACATTATTTTTCACCTTGGAAGAAGTCAATCTAACTCATCTTGTCATGGGGTGGAGTATTTTCTGATTTCTATGGATTTGTTTTAATATAATGGAAAAGGGGAAAGGGTTAGCTAGTCTAATTAGTCCAAATCCGGCCCGTTGGGATTTTTTTTCCTCTTTATGGCCCCAACTTAGTTGGACTTTTGTTTTTTTGTTAGTGGTAAACAGATGAGCTATCCACCCATTGGAAATTAAAGCTAAAATGTAAAAGTAAAATTACACAAGGGAATGGGGTTTACTAGTAGTTGGATTGTTCAGTAAAATATTGTCAAACTTGGGCCAAATAGAGAACCGTTTGGTTGATCAATGGTTCAACCATTTGGTTCAAATAATTTAAATAAAAAATTTAAGACAAAATATAAAATGGGTCTAAACTATCTTTAAAAACTATATACATATATATTTTGATGAATAAATAACCATTCAGGGGAGCATTCACCCTAACTTTTTCCCCAATCCAAGTTTTTGCATAATGACCAACCTTATGGACTGCTTTATCATCCATCCTATTCCTAGAAACATGAGAATTGAGCAAAAGAGATAGAATCAGCTTTAGAACACCATCATCTAAATATTTTGAACAGTGTTTTTAAAACCGGATCGAATCAGATGGTCAGGTTGGAAAAATCAGGAATTGGTCACATGATCGGTTTTGTTTCACTTTAAAATCATCTTTTGGCCAAAAACCGTTGATTTGGTCAACGAATTGTTAAATCAGGCGGTCAAAACATTGACTCGGATGATAATTTTTGGCTTTTTTTTTTAATTTTTTGTTTTTTATTGTCAAAGCGAACCATCTGTTTGAACTGAATAGTCTGATCGTTCAACCCAAAAACCAACCCAAAACGGTTCCTTGTCCGATCCAATTTTAAAAACCTTGATTTTGAAGTCAATACCCTTCATATAAATCCAAAGTATAATATTCTTGATATGCAAAATTTGTGTAATGAGAATTTAAGTTGATCAACATATTTTAATTTTTTTAACTTTTTAGATTTTATAATTTGAGAGATTATCTATTGCATCAATTATTAAAATATCAGTGACCCTGAAAATATTTGAACCTTGAATATGAATAAATTCTAAGGAAAAGGAATATAATGGATCTAATTCTACAATAATCTTCCTCCATTCATTGTCTAAGCAAAAGAAATGGCCTTGTTTCAACCCAACCTCCAAATCTCCTTCCTTAATCCATACAAAGCCAGTTGCAGTAGCAATAGCAAGAAAAAAGTGAAAAACAACCAAGTTAGATCTGACTTACAACCACACCTTACAAACCAAACCAGCAAGGAGGCAAGGACATGGATTGGTTCAAGGGTCAAAAGATGTTTCCACGTGGCAAAAACATATGAGTTGCGTAAAGAAGTTTCCTAGTTGACCTTGACCCGATTAGTGAACTTTACCCACCCGAGATTAGCCTCCAAATTTCAAACACGATCAATCCATCTTCCTTCCAATTGATTTCAAAATTCTCACATCCACTTGACAGAACAGACCAGACCCACCCCACTTTTCAAGCTTCCAACCCCCTTTCCCACGTAAAGGAAAGAAAGGACCGTCACCACTGAGCAGGTCCACACGGACAGACCAAGAACCCACTACTCCCATTAATTAATTTAATCCATTAATTTAACCAAAGAAAAAACAAAAGCAGAATTCCTCACCCATCGCCCATGTTTTCCTCTGATTGATATTCCCAAAGCCGATCCTCCACCCTCTTTCGTCTCATCTCATCTCGCCCTCCTCTGCAACTCTCTTCTCTTTTTCGGGTCTCTCTCCATTTCTTGGGGTCCTTGAAACCAAACCCTAGAAACCCAGAACAAGTGAAAGCCTTGTTAGGACGAATTCTTGCAGGGAAGCCGGGGTCCTTTCGTCTTGAGAAGCGAGGAAGAGATGGCTGCATCCGCTCGGTTCAGTAGCGTGGATGTTGCCGTAACCCTAGTCGTAGCCCTCTTTGTTATCCCTTTGGTTTCTGCAAATTCCGAAGGAGATGCTCTCTACACGCTGCGCCGGAGCTTGTCCGACCCCGATAACGTCCTTCAGAGCTGGGATCCGACGCTTGTGAATCCTTGCACTTGGTTTCACATCACTTGCAATCAGGATAATCGTGTCACTAGAGTGTACTAGTCTCTCTCCCTCACTATCTTTCTCTATTTTTGGTTTTTGCTTACTGGGTTATGGCTTTTGTTTGAAATAGTTTGAAAAATTGTAGCTTTTGTTCTCAATACTGACTATTCAAAAATTTGATTCTTGGTGTGATTCTCGTTAACTTGTGTACTTTTGAGCACTTTCTTTTCTGGATTAGTTCTTTCTTCCCCTTTTGGAGCTAATTTTCTTTTTTTTTTCTTTTCCTTTTTTTTTGGTGATTATGAAGGGTTTCCTATGGAAACTTCAATTACAGTAATTACTATTAGGTTCTAATAGATGCTTCTGGTTTCGCGTCTGTGTATGTGCTTGATGGGGGTTGAGACTTGGGACTTGAGAAAATAATTATATAATTATGAGGGTATTTATTTAAATGTTAGTTTCTGGTCGTACTTTATGATTGATTTTGCTAGGAACCAATAGCTTCGTCTGGATGCTGGAGGTATGGGATTCTGAGATCTAATCAAGTTGTTCACTTAGACAAGACAGTCATTCTTAATGGGGAATTTGATTCTTATGGGTTTCTTTCTTCTTTTTTATTTATCTTCACCTGAAGTCGTGTTCTGGTATTTAATTCTTCATGTTTTTCATTTTTATTGTGTTTTCACTTGGTCTAAACATACGCCCTTGTATGCCTTTTTGTGACCCACCACAGTGTCCCCGGGTGGATTTTGAGTAGAAAATGAGGGTTAGGGCTTTCTGTTGCAAAGGAGCTACTAAAATATGTATGCCAAAGAAAAGCTATTGGCATTCCATCTAGAGCAACAGAGCATTTTCTTCGAGTTTTGTTGGGTGAAAAAAATAACGCAAATTAAATTTGATATTTTCCCAAAAGGGTGTTTTCATATTTGCAGAGTTTGGGAAATTTTGGTTTGTTATGGAAAATGAATTAATTTAGATGCTTAGATGTTAACTAAAAGATAGCATCAAAATTTCCTCTTTCTTCATAGTTATTCCAGAAGCATTTTTCTTTTGTGGGTTGTTTTTAACTTTTGCTTTTAGTAGCAACTAGCAAGAAGGAAGTGTGCAAGAAAGGAGTTTTGATCCTACTTCTTTAACTTACTATGTTATGGCATATTTTTGCAGGGACCTTGGCAACTCTAACCTATCTGGCCATCTGGTACCTGAACTTGGGAAACTTGAACACCTGCAATATCTGTTAGTATCTTTCCATATCTTTATCTTTGTCTTGCATATGCACTTCTATTGATGTTGAGTACTTATTTATTCCTGATTTAAATGGATATTTTAGCGTAAGTAATTATTAATGTTTAATATGTTGAGTACTAACTTTAGAACTCTCTTTGTCCCCATTTTTGACAACTGGTGCAGAGAGCTTTACAAAAACAACATTCAAGGAACAATCCCGGTTGAGCTTGGCAATTTGAAGAGTCTAATCAGCTTGGACTTGTATAACAACAATATCTCAGGGGTCATTCCTCCTGAGTTGGGAAAGTTGAACTCTTTGGTATTTTTGTAAGTTTGAAACTTCTTGTTTTCTATTCCTGTGTGAGTTAATTGAGGCAAAGACTTTCTATTCCTAAACTATCTTACTGAATAAAGGATTATAACCTGATTTCCAATGATCCCAAGTCAGCTAGTTCATGGATTGGCTGGTTTGGTGATACTGGGCTCTAGGCTAAGCATGACCAAGTAAAACATGGAAATTGTATTATCGGAGTACAGTGATAGTAACATGATATCTTGACTTGTCTTTTTGACTATACTAAATTGGATTTCACTTTTGAGTTTGAAAAATTGGTTCAGTATCACCCTTATAATTTGGGAGATGGTTGAAGTCTTCACCTCTCCAGCTCTCCCTTCCTAGCGTGTTTTTGGTCTTCTTTTACATGTGCATTTTGAACCATTTTCTTTATTAATTAATACAGTACTCAGTTTGACAAGGGAGTTTTATAAGAAAAATTCAAAATCAGTTTATAAATCTTTTGTTGCCCATCACTAATTTGCTTTTATTGTGTAGGCGACTTAATGACAACCAATTGACTGGGCAAATTCCAAGGGAGCTCGCTAGCATTTCAAGCCTCAAAGTTGTGTAAGTGCAACAGTGCTAGTTTTCAATTTTCTTTCATCTTACTACACTTACATTTTTTTGGGTATATAATTAAGAATTCACCAGAACATCCCTCTGTTTTCAGAGATGTCTCAAACAACAATCTATGTGGAACAATTCCAACAACTGGACCATTTGAGCACATCCCGTTGAACAAGTAAGAGTTCATTTCTTTTCGTATCTTGTCAATTGATTTTGCACTCAAGAGATGAAGTACTATTTTGTTTAATCCTAGCACTCCAATTCTATCATTACATTTAGGTTTCTATTTTTTTAATGATTGTTCCAGTGTTTTAGATTTGCATTGAACTTTGATTTCCAAGCAATTTATATTCTCTTCTTTTGAAAGTCCAGGTTAATTACATTAGATTGGACAAGTGGATGTGTCATAGTAACTAACCACGTAACTCATAAACTTCTACCTGAAAAAGAATCAGCATTTGTGGACAATGTAATAATTTATGTTTTATGCAACCATTAGCATCCATATAGGAATATATCATAGCCTATTCAGATGTTGAATCAAAAGCCTACTAATTTTTCTGTTTTCTTTTTAAATTTTCAGAATTTGTCAGTTGTTTTTATATTTAATCTCTTTTTTGGAAAGGATATTTAGTTTAATTGCTCATGACAATTTGTTGTTGTGACTTGGGACCGATACATGCTTTGTTATAATATCTTGGTCCTTGGTAGTAGATTGTCTATATTGTAACAGTTATGCTAGCCGGAAGAGTTCTTGATGTTAGTCTTCTGCACAGTTGTTACATCATTGCTTGGTGTAATGGTCAAATCTTGGGATGGCAATATTGAGAATGCAAGGTTAAGAGTCTTAGGACTTAGAGTAGCCACTGTGTGTAAAAAAGGCCTAAGGTTAGGTCCATATCTGGTCCACCCCTCCCAAGACCCCGGATTGATGGGACCCATTGTACTACATACAGATTGCTAGAGTTTTGAGGTAAAAGTATCAAGAAGCATTGAAAAAGCAATCTTTGTCATCTTAAGCAAACATCAAAACCAGTATTTTAAAAGTGAATTTTAACTAAATTCAGTTCTTAGAGCCTGGTGTGTGAGGCACAAGGCAATACATGCTTAAAAGTGAGGCACTACTTTTGAAAAATTTTTAGAAAACTTAACGTATAAGAATTCTAAAGAATAAAATATTTCAAAAAGCCAGATATCAGAAAAAAAAAATCAAAAAGCCTGTCAGTTCAATTGGCTAAATGAATGGAGGGGCCATTTCATAGTGTAATGATAAAATATTTGGCTGACAAGATCGAGAATATGAGTTTGAGTTTGAGAGCAGCCACTTGTGCAAAAGAAAAATGTGAAAGGTTAGGTCTGTATCCAGTCTACCCTTCCCAAGATATATATATAACCATACTTCACAGTAACTAGCTTGGTTAGGCTTAGGCATGCCCTACAAAATGAGCCTTACTATTCATGTTCTCTAGTGAGCTTCCCCAAACAACTTATAAATCTTCCATGTAGTAAATTTGTTTAGAGCTCAAAAGGGCTAAAGGAGTCTACAGATTCATCTCTCTGCTCATTGTTTATGTAAAAAGTTTTGGCCAAAAGACTTTCCAATGTTTGCAAAATTAATCTTCTGTTTTGGCCAAAAGACAACCAATTTTACTAATAAACAGCAGATATATACAGTATGCATTCTCCTTTTAGAGAGAGCCTTTTGACTCCCTCATCTCCATAATATTAATTTTACAATTATGCCCAGAAACTAATTTTTACCCACCCTTTGTTTTGATGAGACATCAACCATACAGTTTGCTGATCTCTGAATCCATTTATTTTGAAATTCAACATCCTTGGTCAATTGCCAACAACCTTAATTATTTTATTTGATTTCTATAGACTCACAACGTTGATTCATTGTTCAACAGCCAACTATTGACCACTTTGAAGCCACCTTCAATAATTAATCTTTTTATCTGCAGCTCTTATGCTCTCATAACCGCTTGTATGACTACAATTATTCCTGCCCTTTAGTGAATCCCCTACTCCAATCTGGCCCAAGAAGATTGCCATCACGTGTCCATCATTTCTGAACACCCGTCCCACCCCTGAGGGCCTTGGGTTTCTCATATTACTGCCATCAAAGTTATGTTTCATAAAGCCCTTTTCTGGGGGTACCCACTGTTTCTGAGACGTAATCTTCTTTGATGAGCAATCACTTTCTCAAGATATTGTCTAGTGAAAAGGATGGGTTGGCTTCCAATGGTTTTATCCAAGTTATCCTAACTGTAATACACTCCACAATTGCTTCTTTCCTTCTCTCCTGCTTCCTAAATATTCTCACATTCATTTCTTCCCAGATTGTCCAAATAATTGCTGCTCTGGTGCATCTCCACATTATCCTTCCCTTTTCTCTGGCCTGTTCTGGTAAACAGCTAATATACACGAAAAGTTACAATACAAGGTATGATATGTGGCTGACATCGATTGTAGGGTACTCATGTAGCCAATCTAACGTTGTCATCTGATGGAAAGTTTGGATCAGCCATGGTATTGTGACTATTGTCTTATATGGCAGATATTGGTGGTTTCGTGTAGGGAAACTCTCTACTTGACTCGATTAGGGTAGGGGGTGGGTTTGCTAGTCAAATTGTTTAACAAGCTTCCATGAATGCCTAGGAATCTTCCACATGGCAAATTAGTTTGGGGCTGAAGCAGAGTCTCCGAATTCCTCTCTCACCCTCTATTCATAGGAAAGATTTTAGCCCAACCTTGCCACATTTGGCAAACAAACTTTCATAGTTAAATTTTATATTAAAATAAAAACTTTGAATAGTTAATACAATATTCAACTATATGGGGTTGGCTACATGAATCCTGTACCACGATTTCACACTTTTCATTATATTCTTAAGTCGTGGGTGCTTAAATAATTTCTGTCTACTTCAACCCATGTCCTTGGCTTGCCTTTTGCTCTTCTAGAACCCTCGACTTGCAATGGAATACTTCTCATCAGTGTTGTAAATAGTCTTCTTTGCACATGATCAAACCATCTTATTCTACTTTTCCTCAACTTATCGCCTAATGGGGCTATTCCTAGGTTCTTAAAAATATGATTGCTTTTTTAATAAATAAATATGATCATTTTTTAAAATCTTATCTCTTCTTGTTTTCCCACTCATCCATGCCAATATTCGAGTTTCTTCTTTACTCATTTTTGGGACATGTTTCTTGACTGCCCACTCTGCTGCATACAAAATTTCTAGCCTTAAGGTTTAGTCTCAGTGGTATTCTCTATTCTCACTATGATTATTCATCTGAACATTCAGTGTCTCAGTACCATTATAATTGTGTTTCCTTCAATGTTTTAGCTTCGAGAACAATCCTCGACTGGAAGGCCCAGAGTTGCAGGGATTGGCTACTTACGACACAAACTGCTCGTGAATGGCGCTGCAAATTCCAACTCTGCCCTGTGTTAATTTGGGTTTTACTGTACGTGGAAATGGGTAGGAGATTTATTTCCATATAATATATAAATATATAATATATAGATATAGATATGGCCAGGGTTTGGAGGTAAATGTAGTAGCTCATAATCAAGTGTAAATCTTTACAGCAGCTCTCTGACTGTTCTAGCATTTGTAATTGTAGCTATAAGCCGTTTCTGGACATGATGGTGGCTAAGGAAAATGGATTTTCCCTCTTCTAGTTTATCTATTCTTATGCATGGGCTTTGTCAAATGAAATCGACACGGATTGGCCCTATTTTCTTTTTCTTTTGGTTCTTTCTAGTTCGAAATCAAACCACCCAAGGTTCAAAGTATCGATACGTATTGTTTTGGGACCTCTCCGATATGCCCCAAAAGTGGGTGTATTGGGGGTCTGACCGGTTTAGGGGGTGGAGGAGCTCTAAACCGCCCCCTGAATCGGTTTTGAAAAAAAACTAAAAAAAGTAAAAAATAAATGGAAGATGGTTTCAAAGCTTTAGAAATTGAATGCCATGCAAAATGGTAGATGGATTTATTGACACTTGGCCGTGTAGGATTTGTGAAGCCTGCTCAAGAATTACTCCATAAAATGACAGCTTAACTATCAATCAATCCCTATCTAGGGGTCGCAAATGGGTGGGTTGGGTAAGGGTTGAATATCAATCCACTCATATTGACCCACCAACCCCCTATGATTTATCATCAATCCTTGTTAAAGGGTTATAATCCACCTTAACCGTGACTCACCCATTTGACTCATTCATATCGGCCCTTAACCACCCTCACCCATATTGATCCACCTACTCACCTATAAATATAAAAATGGGTTGGGATGGCTCGAATGCCTGAAATAATAAATTTTAAGAACATCTCTCAAGGTTGTCATGTGGTAGAAATGGGTTGGGTTGATCTGTACAAGGTTCAAAATATCGATACACCCGATATGTCAATAGGGGTGTATCGGGATATATTGGTATTTTTTCTTTTTTTTTTTTTAATTTTTTTCAAAATTGGTTTAGGGGGGGGGGCGGTTTAAGGCTCCTCCATCCCTTGAATTGGTTAGAACCCCGAGACACCCTCTATAGGGGTGTATCGGGGAGCTCCTGAAATGATATGTATTGGCCGATACGGGCCGATACGTGTTGGTACTTTGAACCTTGGATCTGTATATCGAAAGTAACAAATTTGTGAGAGGAACACCTCTCAAGATTGTCACATGGCAGAAAATGGGTTGGGGCAATCCATATACTTGAAAATAACAATTTTTGAGAGAATAATCTCTCTTACGGATGCCACAGGAAAGAACAGGGTTGGGTTGACATGTATACCCGAAAAAAACATTTTGTCAAATCATCTCTCTTAAGATTACCACGTGACAGAAACAGGTTGGGTTGACTTGTATATCCGAAAAAGCATTTTTGAGAGATTGCCACGTGACCAAAAACATGTCAGGTCAACCCGTATACTAGAAATTGCAAAAATTGTAGATAAATGCAAAAAAAAACCCAAAAAATTCAGAAAATACCAAAAAATTATGAAAATACAGAAAAATACTAGAAAATTGCAGAAAATGCAGAAAAAATGCAAAAATACTAGAAAATTGCAGGAAATGCATGAAAACATTAGGAAAATGCAGAAGTTATGCAGAAAAGCACAAACAATTGTAGAAAATTACCAGAAATTTTCAAAAAAAATGTAGAAAAATACCAGAAAATTGCAAAAAAAATAAAAATTGCAAAAAATTACAGAAATGCAGAAAATTGCAAAAAAAATCATAACTTTTATAAAAGTGCTTTTGTAAAAGTACTTTTATAAAAGTACTTCCATAAAAGTGTTCACAAAAGTACCTTTGTAAAAGTACTTTTATAAAAGTGCTTTCGTGTAAAAGTACTTTTGTAAGTGTTTTCCTAAAAGTACTTATATAAAAATGCTTTTATGCTTTCAAAATGTTTTCATAAAAGTACTTCCATAAAGTGATTGTGTAAAAGTACTTTTATAAATGCTTTTGTGTAAAAGTACTTTTGTAAAAGTGCTTTCGTGTAAAAGTACTTTTGTGAAAGTGCTTTCATGTAAAATTGTATTTGAACACGAAAGTTAATAAAAACTATTTTATTTCATTTATAATCACAAAATGAAATATGACATGGTGGTTTCGATTTGTAATGAGATGTGTGCGCTAAGAAGCTTGAGTTTGAATCACTTCAACTATTGTATTTTTTAGATTTGGCGAGTATAGACACAACCCATCCTGTCCCGTGTGACCCAACCCACCTTGACCCTAATGGGTATCCTCGACTCAACCCACCCTAACCCTTTTTTACTGACCCTAATGGATTACTCAACCCATATTGACCTACCAATAGAATGGGTGGGTATGGGTAGGTTCCAAGGTGGATGGGTTGGGTGGGTCAAATGAGTTGGGGTCAAGATTGCCAGCCCTATCCCTATCTAATTTGAATATACAAGTAAGACTAGTAAAAGAAATATTTTTCTGATTATGATACCAAAAAAACTAGTAACCAATCAACCAGTTTCGTAAAAGTGATAACCAATAAGGTTGTATTTATCAAATGGGGAGGGGNATGGTCAGCTACATTTTGGAAAACTGAAGACAAAAGGGTAACCAATCAGGTGGGTTTTCATAAAAATTCGGGAGGGGGGGGGTTGATTGGTTAAAGCTGTTAAGGTATCATGTTTTTGGTTAGTATTGATTTTTCCAAATAAATATAGCCATTTCAACTTCTAATGCTAAGAGGTTCAAGCTCCAAAATCCAGACTACTGTTTAATATGATGGATGACATGTTGGAGATGTATAAGAAATTTTGGAGTGGTTCTGAGGTGATTTTGTTTTCGGATTATAGGGAAATTTATTTTCAGGATATTGTAGAGCCTCGAGTGAAATAGAGATGAGTGTTTTGTGTTGTAAACTGTGTAATAGCTTGACTTAAACGCATTTTGTAGATTTTGGAGAATCACTATGAGAATGGACATATCTGTTCGTGTATAGCCATGTATTTGATTTACTTCCATAGTTAGATAATAGTTAATGATTATTAATACTCATGACGTCCCTTGATCACACCTAATCTAGTTATGATTACTGGTTGAATTTAATTTAAAACGTCAATGATCACATTTGGCATCCCAAAGGTGTTTGGTGGTATATTTGTACAGTGAGGACTAGCGATGCCCACCAGAAGCCAATCCACGATGCGTAGTTGCAAAATCTAAGACCAATCCATGACTGTGTTGTGAGATTTGGAAATCAATTTGTGGTCCTATCCTCATCGTAGTTACAAACTCTAAGGTGGTGTTCTGTAGTGTGGATAAAAAATTGGTGGGTGTGGACTGGTCCACATCACATCATGTGGCATGAATCAATCAACACCACACCACAGTCCACAACTGTTTTGAATTATAAACAAACTGTGTGGACTGAACCAGTTCTATACCACACTTTTCGATTCCATGTATCTCATATACATTTTATGAATAATCTATACAATGAATTATAAATGTCTAATTTTTGCATTTTATATGATAAATATATTGAAAAATGCATCAATGAATATATATTAACCAATAAATATTAATTTTTTTTTATAAAAACAATAGTAAAATAATTAAAAATTTTAAAAATATATTTTAAATATTAAAAAATATTATTTTATTGATAAAAACAACGTTTTAAAAATCGACCCGGAAACGGAACCATTTTGGCCACCAGTTTCTAAGTCGACAGTCCGATCATCTAGTTTGAACGAACGAGCCATTTTGACAAACAAATTAAAAAAAATAAAAAATAAAAAAGGGTAAAAAACCATTGAACGGATCGACGGGTCAACGATTCGACTGCCCAGGTCAACAGGTTGTTGACTTTTTCAATGGTTTTTGGCCAAATACTGGGTTTGGGGTAAAACGGAACCAGTTGCCTAGACAGTTCCCGGGCCGAATGGTTTGACCGTCCGAGTCAACAATGGTTCAAAAACCTTGGATAAAAACATTAAAAAATTAAGTAAAATAATTAATATTTTATTGACAAAATATTAAAATGTGAAACAGACAATAGAGTTTCAGCCTTTCAAGAGAGTGTGAAGCAGGGGATCAAAAATAGCCTGTAGACAAGGCCCTAACCACAAGTTTTTTTTTTTTTTTGTGGATGAGAAATTGGGGTGTGGATGGGACCGGTCCACGATATAGAATGAACCGGTCCCGTCTAGATCCAGCCGAATAGGTGTTCATCCCGTGAATAGGACTGAAAGATGAACACGGTGCCAAACACCGCCTAAGTTGCCTTATTTGCAATATGACCACCAAATCTTCTAAGTTTATTCAGTTCTTGTATTCTAGATCGCATTGGATCAAGTCTACCAAATCTTCGGTGGATATGACAGAATCTGGGTGGCAACTCTACAAGTCTCACTTTGGAAGGAGTACTAATACAAATATTTACAGTAAAAATACATATAATTAAAATAATATAAAATAAAAGGTTTTAAACTTCACATATTCGTATTTTCGTATTTGTATTCTTTCCAAAGTCCAAATTGAGCCTCAGCGGCAAGAATGTAAATCTCTGGCAACAAGCTAGATTTAAACACATAACCTATAAATCGATCGATATGTTCTTTCTGTTCTTTAAGATGCTAGATTCAGTGACCAAGCTTAAAGATCTCCGATAACACTGTTCCGACAGAAAGTAGATCCTTTGTTCGAAACCTAGCACTTTACTATAGTTTCCGACAAGCAAGACTAGAAATCTGCTAGAACATATATACAGTTCATGACCGGATCCGAGTGAAATTAATCCTTAAAAACATCAAATCTAGCGAAATTTTACTCTAGACCTGAATCCCTGATCTAACCCGTATTCTAAAATCCTAATCCAAGAAGTCTATTTTTAGGCATTTGAAAGGCTGTTTTCTAGCATTTCAAGTCTGTTTTTTTCAGGCAACCTCAACCTGAATTTTTGGCTCAAGCTAGTATTACAAACCAAGGTTTTCAACCTGCTGTTGACCCGGATGGCCGAATCGTTCAAACTGTCACCCAATTGATTTTCCGGATCTGATTCAAGCAAAATCTGGCTTTTCACCAAAAACCATTGACTTTGTCAAAAACCATCTGACCTGAATGATCAAAAATCGTATTCTAAAATCCTAGTCCAAGAAGCCTATTTTTTGGCATTTGAAAGGCTGTTTTCTAGCATTTCAAGTCTGTTTTTTCA